CACAAAAATATCTCTTTGTCTAACAGTAGGAACATCTAAAATAGCAAATTTTTTGTATACAATCTTTTCCCTTTCAATATAACATTTAAATTTCATGAATAGGGAAGGAGATGACCGAAAATATCGAAAGAAAGTATGAAATTGGAAAGGGAATGATAAAAATTTAAAAAAACCTAAATCTTGGACTAACAATGAAATTAATAATTGAGCCAAAAAATTAAAACAAAAAAATTGAACTTAAAAATTGGGTTGGGTTGGACTAGCTAGGCATGGACTTAGCTTGAGAGTTGAAGTATTAATAACTAAATTAGTTAATTTGCTAATTTGTTTAGAAAAGATTAAAATAATTTAATTAATTCAATATAAAAAATTTAAAAAAAATTATTTAGATTCGGTTCTTATTTGGTTCTTCGATTCTAGGTCTAGAACCGAGAATTGAACCAAACTCATTGGTTTTCGATTTAGATACCAGTTCGGGTATTTAACTTATGAAGAGCCGCTCGATTCGGTTCGGTTCGGTTCGATTTGGTTTGTGATAGGAATGTAAAATGCATATTTTTTCCTCTTTATTTTATGTGCTGGTATGATTATTTTATACCAAAATGTACTTATTAATATCATATTTTGGTTTATGTGACAATTTGATGGATATAGCGTAATTTGGAAGAAATAAGTGGAAAAAACCAAAATGAAAAAAAGCAAAAGTTCGGGGACTAAAATGCAAATACTCAAAAGCCATGTTCAACCTCACAATAAAAATTTGAGAGTGTTAGAGGTCAATTGGATGAAGAAAGAATTCAAAGGAGTGAAATATCGTCAAAGTATGATCATACATCAATTTTCAATCGAAAAGTTATGCATCGGATTTTCAGTCTCAGTTTGAGACCCATTTTTGACATGGCAAACGATCGAATTGAATATGGTATCTGAAGCAAAATTGTATCCATTTGAGTTAGCTTTCCAACACATTTTGAATCAACTCAATTGGATACTTGTGGAGAAAGATATGATCAAAATATCGAATGCTATTCAAAGACAAACATGCGCGCGAGCAGACAAATTCTCGCGCCCACGCACGGGCATGAATTTTACTTACCGAGCCTAAAACCAATGATCGGCGTGTGGGCAAGGAAATATGCGGCGCGCGTGCACAGACATTTTTCACAGGCGAATCTCCAGTTTCCGAATTTAAGTCAACTACTTATGGAAACAATTATAAATACATATTTTAAAACCATAGAACGGGGGGAGAACTTACAGAATGCCTCCAAACTCCATTCTTCATTATTTTTCTCTAAAATTCATGAATTGTAACTAAACTTCTACACTTGGTCTAAGGAAATTGAAGCCTCGAAACCACATATTGTGATATCTAAATAGTTTTTTTTATTGTTTGATTTATATTTTGTGTATTGAATGTTC